TGTAATACTCTCATATTTAACATACCTTCACCCATTTTTGTCTATAATTGAATCTGCATGTTTAGTTTAGTTTATCATCCAGATACAATTTGCCTGAATCTCATGTCCCCACGTTTAGTTTCTCCACCGTAAGGATACTTCAGACAGGGTTGTTCACTCTGGGAGCTCAGCTGAAGTTTCCTCAGTCTTCTGTCTTCCCTCAAAGACACCTCCTTCCTCCTCCTCCTTCCTATCTCCCTCCTCTGGTTCTTTCCCAGCCTTCTCCCACATTCAGGAAACTGAAGCCGAGCCAAAAGCCCCAGTTGCTGTTTCCGGGAATCTGTCCCACAAAGCCACAGCATAGTAAGTTGGCTCTGACGTGAGAGCCATTGTTAAAAGCCCAGGGCCCCCATTGTCTGAGGGAGGAACAGCAGCACAAACAAAACCCCCTCTTGTGGAACGAGTGGGAGGAGCTGCAGGGGGGACGAGGAGAGAGAACCTCTGCTATTAATATATGAACTCCCACCTACCACTCCTGCTCCCAAAGGGACCGACCAGTTAAACAAATACCAAGACGGAGGAAGTGCAGGAGGCTTGTAGATGTGATTCTATTGGGCAATTTATCCAAAAACTTGAACATCAACAACTCTGACGTTCCACCTATGGATTCAAGGATTCAAGGCATTTGTAGGTCACAAACACAGTTTTACATGGTATAACGTGCAGTGTATACCTGTTCCACACCGAAAGAATATTAAGATGAATAAAAATAAAGAATAAAACACACACTATATATATAGACAGACAGACAGACAATAAATCAAATTTTCAAACAATGCAAAAGGAGATGGAATAAAGAAAATAATAATATATACATGTATATATACAAACAAAGTGCACACAACTGCAGATTAATGCATTTTAAAGAATCAGTAGCCAAGTTTTGGATTTTTATGCAAATTTTGAAGAATAAGAAAGGGTTAATAGAAATAGAAATGGCGAAATGGAAATAAAAAAAAAAACTTGATTATGCAAAAAAGCTGCTTGACGTGATGACTCATGGGAAATGGAAGCATTTTTTTTAAAACTACGTTCCAACATAGCGAACATTCAAATTGCATGACTAATCAGTAGTTTCCGTTTTTTGTTGTTGTGTGCTTTTCTAGACATTAGGAAATATGGGCGGCTGTGGCTCAGGTGGTAGAGAAGGTTGTCCTCTCATCACAAGGTTGGTGGTTCGAGCCCCTGTCCTTGGGCAAGACACTGAACCTGAAGTTGCTCCCGATGGCAACCAGCACCTTGCATGGCAGCTCTGCCGCCATTGGTGTATGAATGTGATCTACTCTCAGATGTACATCGCTTTGGATAAAAGCATCTGCTAAATGAAATTGTAAATTGTAAATATCCAATACCAGCTGACATAAAAGAATAATTACAATTACAATTTCTGAAGATTTTACTCCATCGTTCCTCATAGTTGGACAAAATTTAGTTTGTTTCTTCTTCTTCAAGGTTTTTGGGCAGTTGGTAAACAGCTAGTTTTGTTTCTGGTGTTTACTACTACTTACTTACTACTAGCGCCACCTTCTGATGACATTACACCAAAAAAAGCATTAGAAAGGCATTTCAAAAAAGTTAATGGGAAAAAAAAAGTTCTTACATTGGCTTGAAAAGGTGTTTGACTTGTTAAAAAAGATTTAATGGGAGATGGAAACAGTTTTTCCAAACAAGTCATTTACTCACATGACTAATCAGTTGTTTCCGTTTCTTTCGTTGTCTTCGTCTCTGAACATTGAGAAGTATGTCCGATATCAGCTGACAAAGAATAATTACAACTTGCCTGATTGAAAACAATTCCTGGAAACGTTTCTTTATTTTTCCCCGTAGTTGGAGACAAAATTTAGTTACTTTGTCTTCTATGTGTTTTTTGCAAATGGCTGGTTTTGTTCTCAGCTTCTTCTACTCTGTTTTATTGCAGTTATGTGTAACGTAGCCTATATATAACGCCACCTTTTGACAAAACAAGTCTATAGTTTTTTCGTTTCAAAGCAATGTCAAATCAAGCCAGCTTAATTTGCATTTTCTTTTGTTTAATTATTTTGCAACATTTCAAGAGTTTGCTTATGGAAACATGGCTGGTGTCATCTTCCAGCTCATTGAATGATGGCATCTAGACTCAACATTACAACTACCAGATCAAGTGTGACTTTTTTGTTGCACTGACGTCAAGATGAAGAGTTTCTTGGGTTTTTGTGTTTTTTACTGACAAGTAACTTTAGTTTCACTCAGATTCTGCTTTGAAACATGTCACAAGTACAATTCTTCAGGTTTCTGATCACCTGAACAGGTACGTCTTGCATTAAACACATCACTTACATTCAGTTTTTCTCATCAAGACTTTGAGGCCCCATAGATCTGTTGAATCTAATTCTTTTTTCATGATACGTTTGCAGAGCAGATTTTTTGAGGTTGAAGGCATGAAGGGAATTTCTTCCAATTTTGGCTCAGACTTTTATTTTAAATTGGTGTTCACAGCTCACTGTGACCTCACTGAGCATGTTTTTGACCATAACTCAAGACTTTGTGCATTAATTATGACAAAATTCCACATAAATGACTAATGGGGTAAAGTGATGAATATTATATCCAAAAATTCAAAGGTTATCTTTACTTTGATATTATAATGTTCTTCACAACACTATTTTTGGCCTTTATTCAACAGTGCAGCTAGCAGGCTGAGAGATTGTAACCATTTTTCACTTTTGGTTGGACACTGATGTGGAGACTCTCGTCTTTAATGTCTGTTTGTTCAAGTCCCTCAGAGTCTTTATCACATATATTATGTGAGTCTGGACAGACATGGATGTAAACTGCAATTTAACTGGTTGGTAGAACTGCTAAATGGTAATTCTAGTTAATAGCGAGCTTGAGTTTCACTCATCTTCTGCTCTGCATCAGTTCATAAAACCATTATTCAGATTTATAATCACCTGCAGAGGCTTGTCATCTACTCCTCATTATTCTTATAGACGTCTTATAGTGTGTGCTACTCTGTGCATGAAAATATGTATTTTTGATGTTGTTAAACATTAAACTCTTTTTTTGCCTACTTTTTTTTACCAAAAATTTGAGATCTAACAAATCTATCGAATCAAATTTCTTTCCTCATGCAACATTTGCAAAGTTAATTTTTGAAGAAATATTTTGACATCCGCACATTTCTGTACACTCTTCTTAGCAGTCTTGTTCGTCTTCCCTGACTTTACAAGCATATGGGTACATTTTAAAGCATCTGTGGACATGTGAGACATCAGCAGAAATATTTATCATGAGACACAAACAAACCAAGGACCCACTAATTGAACTTCTCAAGTTGTTGTAGGACAACAAAAAAGTGTTTGTTTCCATAGACTCACTTCATTCTTTCACCTGATAACATTTATGTATATATACTTGTCTCATGCTCATATTATTTAGTTATGTGTGGATGAGTGACCTGTGATGCTGCAGAACAATTTATAGATGTTTGCAGACGGGGAGGAAGATAAAAATTTAGATGCACTTGGCCGCACAAGACATCCATCTGGTCAGGCTAATGTTAAGCTCAGAGTTATGCTGTGGATTCTGATAAAAAACATTAATTGTGTTGTGCCTCAATCCGTCCTATTATAGTGTTATAAATTGACCCGTCAGATCAGAAGCAGTACTGGCTTTTTAAGGAATGTTGATTTCAGAAAGAAAACTAAACTTTAATACATTAATCATTTTTTATACAAGTAAGCAAAAGATTTCTCTTCTATCTTCTTGCTACGAACATTGCAGCATACAACATTTTTATTAGTTGAAAGTAAGCTAAACTAGGGTTTAATTTTTTTTTTGTACTTTTGTTTGATTCTCACTTGCCTGCGTGTTTCTGCAGAACCCCCAGCATTCTCAACAAGGACCCGACAGACAAGAAACCGAAGAATGAGAAATCCTCCGTCTCCTTCAAACATGACTTTGATCCAACAGGTAACAGATTCAATTCAGCTTTAAAAATTAGGTTTAATTGTTGCTTTAATTTGCTGTAGCATTTTCATTTTTCAAACCCTGTGTAAAGATTTCTTTGTAGATGCCAAGAACAATTGATCTAATGAATGAATGATGACGGATCAATAACTGTTTTCTTTACTCATTTGGAGTTTATAGTGTATTTTATAGTCATTTCAACTTGCACAGCAACACAATGCATTCAGAATGACTGCTTTGCATTGTTTTAAAGAAAAAAACAAGCTGAGGCATTAAATGAGATTAAATTTAAAACTGAAGCAGTTTGTCGAGTATATCAATCAAGTTTAGAGCAAGAGTGTAACCATTTTTTTCTTTTTCTAAATACCTGTAGGTTTTGGACTATTAGTAAAACAATACTAAACAAAACAGTTCACAAGTAATCTTAGGCTAGAAAAAGCTGCAATCTTAAATTACAATTTGCGATGAATTTTCAATTTGATTCAACATTTTTTAAATGAATGTGCAAATAAAGACTGTTTTATGTCAAAGTGAAAGCAGCTTTCCACAAAGTAATCTTGGTTTCTTATTAGGAAATGAAAGGAATATGACCCAGGGTTAGCGCTGCCTCAAACAGGATGTCCTCAAAACTGAGTGACTGTATGAGAGAGAGACTAGTGATGGAGGCCACAAGACTGCTATGACTCCCACTGAAAATCTAGTCAAAATAACAAAATTAAATTTACTATGGTTCAGTGTTGAAAAGCAATCAAAGGAGAAAGCTTCCAAGGGGGGTACATACTTTTCATAGGCACTGTAATCTCAACTACAGCTATCTTTCTAAGGTTTTTCTGTCTATACATTTAATTTAAACTTTACAAACTGAACTGTGCCTTAGTCTTCACCACAGAGGCTGGTCGGGGAGCAAACAGAGATGGTTTCGGCAGAAACAAGTTGTTAAGGTGGTTGCCCGGGCTGCATAGTTGACATTAATCCTTCCTGCCCTTTTGTTCACCCTGGAGTCTTGAGGCTCCTCATTGAGTCCAGAAGACAACCAATTATCCACTCAGATCATTCTTTGAAGTGGGAGAAGGAAAACGGAAAACCAGACAGGCAGATTGCGATCGCCAAACTTCCTCAGTGGCTGCAGGAAGAACATCCGTGGCTGACGTTTTCTGGATGTTCCAGATGTTCTTTGCAGATTTCAGGGTGATGGTCAAGTTGATTTGGATGAATATTAAAGACTCAGCCAAGTTTACAAATGGATCACAAGGATTTGTCTGATTAAAATGAGCACTATTCGTCAGCGGCACAAGGTTTACTGTCATTCTATTCAATATCTACTGAATATCTTCTATTGCATCACCAGATAAAAGAACAGAACACATGCAGGGCTACTGGACTTAAATATCATGCTTCATGCACTCCACAACATCCATTATTGATGCTGAATATTTGCTGTGAATAAAAACTTTACATCAATTACATTTATCTGACTCTAGTGTTGACAGTCTTTGTGTTTTGAATGGACTTTTTATGCAAATGTAGTTGAAGGTATTAAATATAGATGTTCGTGACACCATACAAATATACATTTTTTATTTTTACACTGGCACATTGTTATTGCACACAACATTTGTCTAATAGTTGAACTGGAGCGAAATCCAGCATTTAGTTTCTTTGTTTTAGCATAGACAGAGGTCAAGATTTTCCAGTAACAATGGAGATGCAGGAATATATGTTTTCAGTTTGTTTCATTGTTGCCTCAGTTTATTTTTTTTAAAAGTCCCTGAGAATAAAGTTTATTAATTAAACTGTTTGCTCTTGTGTCATATCCGAGTGCTGACACAGTTACAGCAGTAAACTGTAATATTTCCCACTTGACTAGAGAGTCAATCTTGTATTATTTTCTATCTTGCAAGCAAAAGCATGCACAGGAGTAAACAGAAGTTTCCATAGACTTGTAAAAAAACATATGTATATCATAGCAGTCTTGAGTTTTCAGTCACTCCCATAACTTCTAATTTTTTATGATGGAATTCTTGAAACCCATGGGTCTTTGTCACAAAAATAAACTAAAATACATTTTGTTCTTTTAAAGATTTCTTAAAGGACATATGACAAAATCTGCTATGTCAAAAATACACATACAGAAATGCTAATATTTGGTTGAACGTCCTTTGGCTATTTTTACCTCAACTAGGCACTTTTAGTAGCAGTCTACAAACTTCTGATTGTACTTTTGATCCTCCTCTTGACAGAATTGGTACAGGAAAACTAAATTTGTGACGTTTGAGACTTGTTTCTTCAGCACAGTCCACAGGTTCTTTATGGAGTCAAGACTTTGGGGGAGACCGGTCAAAGCTCTTAATTCTGCGCAAATTTCGTCATCTTCTTAGCATGTGTAATGTGTGTTTGGGGTCATTGTCTTGTTGGAAACACCCAACTGAATCTAAGACCAACATTCTGGCTGATGATTTTAGGTTTTCCTGAAGAAGGTGGAGGTAATCCTCCTTTTTCATTACTCCATTTGCTTTGTGTAAACCACTAGTTCCCCTCGCACCAAAACAGCCCCAGAGCATAATACTGGCACCCCCATTCTTCCCAGTAGGTTTGGTGTTCTTGGGGTTAAAGGCTTCATCTTTTCTCCTCCGAACATATTTCTTGCAGTTGTTGCCAGAAAGTTGCATTTTTGTTTTCCTGTAATAAATCTATGAAAGAACCAAAATGCATTTGAAAGAATGGGGGGAAAAAAACAACAACAACAAAAAAAAAAACGTGTTTTCGGTGATTTCATAATAGAAAATTCAGTTCAGTTATAGGAGTCATTGGAAAGTCAAAGCTTCTCTGAGGTACATGGTCTTTACAAGTGTATGGAAACTTTTGTTCATGACTATATACATTTGTATGTAAACAAGAATGTGAGACTTTATCTTAAATCAGAGGGATAAAAACTGTCATTAATATATTTTTTGACAAGAAGAAGTCAGACTGGTGCACATTTTCAACACATTTTAGGCCTCACTGCTCACCTCACCTGTGTGTGACTGTCGCTGGACCTTTGCATTTTGGTGCCCATGTTGACAGTTTAGAGCAGCCACAAGAGCCAAAGACGAGCTCTGAGGGAGGCAGAGGAAAAAGATTACTCAGTGGTCAGTCCAGTTCTCACCAAAAAGAGCAGGCTGCTATTTAAGAAACTTTCTGTTTCTGTCGCATGATTTGTCATTTCCTGTGTGGAGACTTTTTCCCACAGACTTCTGCACTAGACCAAGTGCAAAAGAATGAGGCTAAACCATCATATATTAGTTTCTTCATAATCTCCTTTGTCTTGCAAAGCAAACACAATATCCAATATTAGCAGTTATGTGAGATCTTTTTCTGTTTGAAACAAAAACACAAACGTCGAATTATGAAGTTGGATCATGTGCGGTTTTCTTTTAGGTTGTGTTGTTGCCCTTGGTTGCGTGAAATGTAATGAAATGTGTGTGTGTGTGCGTGTTGGCAAATGACAGGTCTGGTGCAGCGCTGTGTGATAATCCAGAGGGATGAAAATGGCTTTGGGCTGACAGTAAGTGGAGACAACCCTGTGTTTGTGCAGCTGGTCAAAGAAGGTAAGGCTCACACAGACACACACAAGCACAACACACAACCACAACACACTATGTAAAAGCAACTGACTCTCTTCTGTCTGTTGTGTTACAGATGGAGCAGCGATGCGAGCTGGTGTCCAGACAGGAGACAGAATCATTAAGGTCTGCCTCGTTTGATTCCTTCTTAATCCCAACATCAGCAAGTACACATTTCTGAAAGTGAATTAAAGGACAAAACAGATCAGATTAATCTTAATTTTTACCTTTTGTGTTGTTTTAAATCTGCTTGATTATCTCCGATTTGCCTGACTTTTTATTTTCATCTTAAACTGGATATTTTTAGAGATGTTTTTGAAACTTAAGCTTGATATATCAGTTTTATCCCACGATAGTCTGCTGGTTAAAACATGGCAATTTTTAGTCACAATGAGCTAAAAATTTCTAGATCTATGTCTCTTTTTAAATCGGGTTGTTTCATCTCCTCATCATTTTTAGAACAATTTCTGCCTTACCGTCTTCGATTTGAGTGACATTTTTAATTTTTTTTACGTAAAATATAGATATTTGTGAAGATGTTTGTAAGAGTTTTAGCTTGTTATATCAAATGCTTTCTGAGATAACATTCTCTAAAAACGCCTGTCAACCCACTTTCAGCACATTTTTTGCACACTGAAATTTGAGGATGTTAATAAAAAGATAAGTAAAATGTTCGCTTAGTAAAGAATCTGTGCTATGTCACTGACATGTGCAATATTGTTATTTTCCACATTCATAGGATTTTTTCTATGCATTATCTGAATATCCACACATGAAAGAATCCGTACTTATGTATATTTCTTTTTATTTTCTACTGATGTTTCCTACATGTTTGTTGCAATGACACTGGAAATCACTCTGTTGTGGGATTCATAAAGGCTTATTTGATCTTATCTTATTGCATGCAATGTTATGATATTATCAGAAAGGTATGGGTGGACCAGGTTTCTGTCACTGTCCAACCAACATGTCAGAGCATAAATCCTTTTTTGCTTATATTTTATATTTTTCTTGTTTAAAAAAAAAAAAACCTATGAAAAGAGAAAAATCAATTTGGGATTGATTTTACTAATAAATGCTATTAAAATATCCTTATTTTGAGCCACTTCATTCACTTCATTCTCATTTTAAAACTACACTTTTAAACACATCTCTGAGCCATGTTGCTTTCATTAGTATGAATACATCCACATGTAGTTTATTAGAGCTTTTTGCAAGTACTTGGTCTTTACTAGTGCAACAAATCTGCTAAAAATACTCAAAAACAAATTCAGATTGTTAAAAAGAAAAAAAAAATACATTCTAGCAAATCATTTTAATAATATATATGTTATCTAGTAACAATTGGTTCAGGGATGAGAGGTAGACAGATGCTCTGATAGTTTTGGTGTTTTCATGGGATTTGTTTACAGAAACATAAATATTAAACTTTGCTTTGTGGTGTTGCTGTCTTCTGACAGGTTAACGGGACCTTAGTTACACATTCAAACCACATAGAGGTGGTGAAGTTGATCAAATGTAAGTTCTTCTGCACTTCTGATTACATTTTTAGTATCACATGTGAGTTTCAGTGATTTTGACAGTGTGCTAGAAATATAATGTGAGAAAAAAACCTGATCAAGCCTTATAGTGGTGACTAATTATTCTGTTTTCTTTTTGAGCTACAAAAGCTAAAATCCACATTTGACCAAACAGAGACTGTATTAACCTCCCCAGCTGATAATGATTGGCTGAATCAATCGCCAATTAAACAAATGCTTCCTCCCACATCCCGCAGAAAAGATTTATTGAGATTTAGGCTTAACAGAGAAGTTTGGGGTTTTTCCCAGTGAGTCATACATAATCAGTTATGACACAAGACAAGACATATGTCACAGCGTAATAAATCAGCGCAGTGGTATTGTTTTGTAAAGCAAAGTAAGCTGCTGATGGTTCCTTTAATGTTCCATTAATGTGGTCCGGCAGTTCTTGTCCTCTGAGCTGCTTTTAATGGTTTTTGCATTCTCCTTTCCTCTCATTCCTTTCCCATGACTCCTCTTTGGCAGCCGGCTCCTATGTGGCCCTCACGGTGCTGGGGAGGCCTCCAGGGCTTCCTCAGATCCCGCTGGAGGGAGAGAAGGAAGGGAACGAGGGAAGAGGGGAGGTCAGCTCCTCCCTCTCAGCACCCCATGTACCTGCACTGTCAGGTGGGGAGCAGAGCTGCTCTTTGACCGGACAGGATCCACTCACCACATCTCTGTGTGATGGGGTAAGACGACAATAATATGTAATACTTGTCAGCAGTGTGAACTTCAATGCTGCTGGTGGGTTTAGAAGGCATGTTATGTTGTTTTTTTTTAAATGCCAAAATTACACAATTTCTCATGGACACAAACTGTAAAAACAGAAATAATCATCAAACTTTTAACTTTTTGATGGTCCTTAAACTAAAAATGTACAACTTTTGGTTCCACCTGGAAAATTAAATAAATCTAAGCTTTAAATCATCGTTAAAATCACTTTATTCTATGTCTTTTAATTTTATGCTTTATTTAAAAATGAGCCAAAATTATAGCTTTTCCTCTAACCCTATTCTGTAAAAGACAAAAAATATATAGTTGTAGGTGCAACTGAAAACTGATCAGTGACTCAGCTATGACAAAAAAAGTCATCAGACAAAAATTCACTGACCTGTCAGCTGATCTGCAGGCTGTGTATGGAAGTAAGAATGGACTCAAAGAAAAATGTACGTAGCAAAATGTTTAAAGTATGCAGAGTCACCCTTTTTCCCCCCAATTTTTGTAAACTAAATTAACTTTTTTTTTTTTTTTTAAATATATGATTCAAGGCATAATAACTTTACTGAACTGCACAAAAGACATTTTTGAGATGTATTTTTTCTAGTCATGGTCATTCTGTTTCCATTGAGGTGCAGGACTTTATATTGCAGTGAAAAATGAGCCCACAGTGAGTAAAAGTGTGCCAGGAGCAAAGAAAAGCCCAGAATTCAACTGCTTGGTGTACAGAATGTTACATGAGCATTTTAACAAGCAGCATTTAACTCATAAAACATGTTGAAGCCACGTGCAGATTAATACCAAACTTGAATTTCTAATTAGATTTGATGCAACATTAGCTTCAATGAAAGTTACATGTGAGAAACAGATGCTCAGCACCACATTTTGTTTGCAAATTCTATAAACTCAAATTCTGTCATCTTTCTTTGACTCTGGACTGGTGGTATAAAGTTGTGAGGTTTTCAGCGTGCACTTCAGAATGCATAATGACGGAGCAATATTGCAGATATTTTGAGCTGTGACTGCAGGTTGCAAACTGGGAAATGTTGGAATAATTCTTTCAACATTTTCATTCTCCAGAGGAAGCAGAAGTCTGGAGTTTTGCTTTGACTAATAAAAATGTTGTGACATACTTTGTGAAACTCTGGACTCTGAGATTCACGGCTTTGTCACTTTTGAAACTGGTGGTTTGTGCACCTTCATTTGGAGCCAGCAAATTATCAAAGTGGCTCAGATGCAAAAAAAAAAAAAAAAAAAAAAAAAAAGCAGAGCCTCTGCTGCTGGAGGAAAATTGGCTTCATGCCTGCCAGTAAAATGTAGCCCAATACGGTCACTGTAAAGGCATCTTGCCTTATAGAAGGACTGCAGGAGTATTATATGGACCTTGATAAATAAACCAGCGGCTTTAATGCCACGTATACTGAGTCAACATCCAATAAAGTCATTTTAAGAGCAGCTTCTTAAGCTTCTTTACAATCTGGACGGACAACCCAGCACAAATTGTCCACAGAAGCTTATTAGCTTACTATGACGGTGAAAATAAGGCTGTCTGGCAAAGTTGGCAAGTAAGTATCCTCCTTCTGAGAAATGTGGTTTGTTTGTTTATGTAAAAATGATATTGCCAAGCCAGTTTAGCATCCAGTAGAGACGTGTCTCTTGTTTTGAAATGATAATAGTGGAGCTGCTTGTTCAGGTTAGTGTGTGCGTTACTGTGGAGTCTGCTGCATCTCAGCGCTGAATCAACACTTTTAATGCTCTGACATAATGTTATTTTTAACCGCGATAAGGTTTGTGATAGGCTTATCTGGCTGGTACAAACCATGCAGCTCATTATTTTTAATTAGCTCCGTCGTTTCAGTCCATTTCAGCCAGTTTTTACCAGAACTGCTGCAGTAGCGTCACCAGTGTGACTTCTCTGAGACGCTCAGTGTGTCACACTTGTTCGGTGGTGATTTTTAGAGACCTAAAACAAAACCCTGGCATGCTGGGATGTTTAGATAATCCAAAACTGGATTGTTTGCTTGAATTGTTTGTCTTGAAAAGAATGCTGGATGAGCTGTTTAATCAGTATTTTCCAGCGAAGGAGGAAGTACTCAGATCTTGTACTTGTGTGAAAGACAAGAGGACAGATAAGTGCCGTAAAGCAGAAGTAGCAGCACAATATTTGATTCTCAATTGTAGTGGAGTAGAAATACAAAGCAGCTGAAATGGAAATATTCAAGTGAAATACAGCTACCTTGAAATTGTGCTTAAGTTTAGTACTTGACGACATTGTGAAAAGAAAAATCGTTAAAACAAACTGTGACATTCTAGCAGCAAAAGCGCCAGAAAAATACATAAATGGTGGAATACTGTCACATTCTAAAGCTGTAAAAAAAAAAAAAAAAAAAGATCTTTGCTGCCAGAAAATTTAATGAAATAAATAAATAATGGTACATTCAAAATTTTAAAAGAAAGTTTACATTTTTTTAATATATATTTTTTACTAAAAACAACAGTTGATATTGGTTTATTAATGATGTTTCTGACAGATTTAAATACAGCAAAATAGCAGCAACCAAACATTTTGTCAACAGTGTAAAAGAACAAATCATTTGTAATTTGTAAAAAAAAAAAAAAAAAAATTCAATTTTTGATGTTGATTTTTTTTAAAGTTTTGAACTTTTTTTTTAACAGTTAATGTTTTTAATTTATTTTTTAAAAATTTGCCTTATTTTATCACTATTTTCTTTCCATTGTTAGTGCCCGGCCACAACACTGTGTAGGACCCTATTGCAATGCAAGGAATTCTTATTCTTCTCCTGACAAAACAAATGCATTTTTGATGACCCAAATTTGCACACACATCAGGACTGGCGAAAAATTTGATATTTTATGGGATTTGTAAATGTATGTCTCAAAATGGCTCCATAGTGCCCCCTACGAACTACTACGAGCAGAGCGTTTCAGCTACATCTACGAAATTTTGTAGGCATGTGTAGCAGCGCACTAAAAAGTCTGTGCACGCCATGCCGTCAACCCAACAGGAAGTCTGCCATTTTGATTTGTTTGTGAGATTTTCGCTTATTTTTCATCACATTCAAGAACTATCTTGAAAGGACTTTTTGACAGCTTTGGAATGCTCAAAAACTCACTAAAATTGGCATACAAGTCACTATCGGCTCAGCGACAGACAATGTGTGCCTGTTTGACAAAATGGCTCTATAGCGCCCCCTACAACAATTTATCTATTAGCTCCTGCAGTACATTTAACCCACATCTATAAAATTTGGTAGGCATATGTAACACATCAGGACGCACAAAAAGCCTCTTGAACCCAACCGTGAACTCAACAGGAAGTCCGCCATTTTGAAATAACTGTTAAAATTTTTGTGATTTTTGCCATTTTCAAAATCTATCTCCTTCAAGGGGTTAACTCCTACACGCCTCAAATTTGACCAGCACATACAACAGGGCTTGGTGATTAAAAGTTATGGAAACGCTCCGCAAAAGTCTAAGGGCATGGCAATGGCGGCCCTCTGAATTGTGATGATTCGCCATCAAAAAGGAAACGTGTCTAATGCCCATGTACATGCTCCAATCTGCCTCAAACTTTACATACTTGATCACAGTCCTGCCCTGATGAAACCTATATGCCAATATCCATTCACACTTATAGTGTCACCTGCTGGCAATAGGAAAGAACACGTTTTACACTTTTATGTGCTGTTATTAACAGGTTGACGATATTAACCTCAAATGTGGTGACATGAGCCTTTAGATGTTCATGATGACTCATGCAACAAATTGTGAGTTTTTATCAAACGGTGGGTCCGTGGCGGCAAGTGCTGTCTCCTTGCCCTCTGCATGCTGCACTCTGCCTCAGTCAGAATCACAATCAGAATCCTTTTATTGTCATTATGCATATGCTTCTGTACACACAACGAAATTGCAGTTAGAAATCCCAGCTTTAACCAAAACAAGAACAATAGCATAAAAGTAGACTTTTAATCAAAGTAAACACAAGTACAGTCAAATATAAATATAAACGTTCTAAAAAGGTGTAAGCACAGTGCAGGGTCCCGGCTATGTAAGGTAGTAAGGTAGTGGGTCACCTGTGTGTGTGTGTGTGTGTGTGTGTGTGTGTGTGTGTGTGTGTGTGTGTGTGTGTGTCTGGAAGAGCCCTGGGAATGTCTGTCAGGAGGGGGAAGATAGCTGTCACAGCTCTCAGGTGGAAACTGTCCTTAGTCTTTTTGTTCTAGCCCCTCAAACTTTCCATGTTGGATCAGAGTCCTGCCCTGATGACATTCTCATGCCATTATGCATTCACACTCACATTGCCACCTTCTGGAAATGGGAAAGGACACGTTTTACACTTGTATCTGCTATTATTAGCCCGTTGACCATATTTACTTCAAATGTGGTTAGGGTTGCGGTTAGGTGATTGTCATTTTACCCGGAGCACATTTCTCCCACAACCCTGACGTGCACCGCAGCTTGACGTGTAACACGTCCAACATGCATGGAAGTGCGAGGGCCCGTCCAATGCTGCTTGCAGCTTTAATTTTATTTGTTGTTGATTACAAGTATTGACTTTGGTATTAGTTTCATTATCTTTGTGCTTTTTATGAGTATGGCGAAGATCTTTTGTATCATGTGGTAGCCGACAGAACCAATCAGTTATTGGGTCACTCCTTTCTTTATCATAGTTGTGCTCATGACACAATAATAACACCGATTTTAATAAAAACGCCACGTGATTCGTATCATATGCAGAGCTGATGATGTGATCCAGCTGATGACCTGCATCCAGTTAATTAGGGAGGGTTCCATCGTAGCAGTGCTGATTCATAGCATGATTCATTGGAACGGCAGCATGAGATCATCGTCTGTCATGTTAACTTTTCATCAAAGGAGAGTGGAACATTAATTAAAATGATTGTTACATTAGTTTAAAGCTTTAAACGTTACTAGAACCAAGTTACCATTGTTAGAACCTAACTAACGTTGGGGGAACGTTCCCTGCTAGCTGGGGTCTTAGTTCCTTTTTAAGCTCATTTGAGCATTAATTAAAATGATTGTTGTCTTAAAATGTACTTTAAACATTACGTAAAGTTTTAAACGTTACTAGAATCACGCTACCATTGTTCAAA